GGAGCGGTACGACCCGTCAACGAATGAGTGGGAGGAGGAGGCTGTGGCGCCGATGCTGACGGCACGCACGTATGTCGGCACGGCGGTGCTTGATGGCAAGCTCTACGCGGCGGGCGGCCGGAGCGAGGCTGATGGCGAGGATGAGGATGGCGAGGATGAGGCCGACGAAGCAACTTCCAGCTCGGTGGAGCGGTACGACTTTGAAACGAACGCGTGGGAGGCGGCGGCGCCGATGGCAGAGGCGCGGTGGTGTCACGGCGTGGTCGTGCTCGACGACAAGCTGTACGCTGTGGGCGGGTACGGAGGCTACGGCGGCACCCTCAGCTCGGTGGAACGGTACGATCCGGCGGCGAACGCGTGGGAGGCGGTGGCGCCGATGGCGGCGGAGCGGGACCATCACGCTGTGGCGGCGCTCGACGGCAAGATGTACGCTGTGGGCGGCTTCAATACTGACTTCCTCAGCTCGGTGGAGCGGTACGATCCGGCACTGGATGTGTGGGAGGCGGTGGCGCCGCTGGGGACGGCGCGGTATAATCACGGCGTGGCGATGCTCGACGGCAAGCTGTACGCGGTCGGCGGCAGGAACGGCGACGGGGGCGGTGCCCGCCTCAGCTCGGTCGAGCGGTACGATCCGGCTGCCAATTCGTGGGAGGCGGTGGCGCCGATGGGGACGGCCCGGGGCGAACATGGCGTGGCGGTGCTCGACGGCAAGCTGTACGCGGTGGGAGGCTGCAACAACGCGCTCAGCTCGGTGGAGCGGTACGACCCGGCCGAGAATGCGTGGGAGGCTGTGGCGCCGCTGGCGGCGGCGCGGGTCTCTCCCGTAGCTGTCTTGTTGTAGACGGCCCTCTGTTAGACTGTTTCGCGGAACGAATATGAAGGGGGGAAGTAAGTTTGATTGAGGGGAAGGGCAATTCAACACCCTACGACCAACAGCCGACAAATCCGCGCTCGGGAAGGTCTTCTCTCAGCAGGCCGAGCGCCGTGGCCTGGCTCGGCTCGCCGCGAGTCGCGCGAATTTATCAGTGCCATAAAAAACTCACGAGACCTCGATATCTAACAAAGACTAGTCACAAAAACAAGATTTTTTTTAGCTTAGCCTTCGATGTTAGGGAACAAGAACAAAGCAAGGCGGACACAGGGCATATCGCTCTCGGGCCCACAGACATCCCGCACACCCGCCGCCCCCGCGCGCGCCCCGCCCCGGCCGGGAGAGAGGGGAGTGACAGATTGGGATGGCAACAGTCGAGTATTGGGGACCCTTAGGGCTGTCAAACGTTAAGAGCTGAACAGTGTTGCTAGTGTTAACAGTAACAACAGAACAACAGTGGGGCTCCCCAACAACAGTAGCTAACGTTAGGCCGGCTGAACAACAATACCAAAGAGCTAGGGAGCGCGAACAACACTTGCGCCTGCCCCAGCCACTAGCAGATAGAAGATACAGCCCACAGGCCACAGCTCAAAATTTGCTTCGGCTCGCTGCGCTCGCGTGGCTCCGGCGGACGGAACGCCGCCACATCGTAGCCGCTCAGAGACCCGAGATGATCTCCGATGGCTCCCGGTAACCGTCTACGAGGGGCGGGCGTGGAGCAAGTGGGTCCGCCCTTGCACGAGAGCACGACGGTGGTACGAAACCCCACCCTAGAGCACTCGAGCTGTGATGCGGCTCAGTCCACGATCACGAGCTGATCGTCCTCGGCCACGAGTTCCTCGATGAGGAAGAAGTGCACAATGCACTCGGCGATCCTCTGCACGTTGCGCAGAAAGGCTGTGCGGTCCACGCGGCGGCAAACAATGTAATCCTCCCCGACAACAGCCCCAGCCCGTGCGAAGGATTCCACCGTCCACCGCGCACTGGTCCTGCTCGGCTCCGGCTCCGCTCGCTTCCGGCTTCGCCAGCAACCAAGGCGCTTCTCGCGACCACGCATCCCAGCGTGACGGATTGGGCGAAGGTTCTTGGTAATGGTTCGTCGTCCGTGACGCATCCCATTTGTGCGGAGGTGCTGGTGATGTTGGCGGTGGCGATGGCAATGGCGACGGCGGCAGTGCCGCAGACGACGCCAGCTCTGACAACGTCTCTGTCGCTGGCACTGAAGTCATGGGCCAACCTCCTGTCGTTGGTGAACCTCAAGACGTCATGGCATGCGCTGTGTCTATCAGTGCCCACGCCGCAAAGCGTCAACATGTTGATCGACACGCGCACGAGTTGTCACCGGCACTTGAGGCCTTTGAGGTGCACCGAGCTACACCACTCAGGAACGTTCAGAACACCTGGACGTGTGCAGTGGACGTTCAGAACAAGCTGTTACGGTGTTCATGGCAGCTTAGCAAAAAAACGTGTGGCTGCCTACTCGGCCGCCTGAGAGCGCGGGCGGTGTGTATAGCCTGCTCAGGCCTGCAGGCTAACGTACGGACTACGGTGCCACGAGCAACGATACGGGTGAACAAGTCGTCTAATTTAACTCGCGTCCCATTTTTGGAAAATCCTAAAAGGATCATAACTTGCGTACATGTGCATGTTACGTATCTGTAGTATATGATACCGTGGGAGATGACATATAACCGTGAGTGTGTCAACCTCGAGATGCAGGTCTCGAAGCTCGAGTGCTTCTCTCCCGAGTACAACCTCTCGCACTGCCGGAGGAGGATGGCGGGTCGCGGACGTACCGAGGCGTGATGGTCGCGGGCTGCCCAATGGGGGAGGCAGGGTTTGTGGATGCGTGGTTACGCGCCCAGGTGAGCAGTATCGTGAGCTACATCGACAAGACAGTTCTTTCGCTACGTGCTGCGAGCCCCCACGCGCTGTGGGCCGCCATCTACTACTCCTGCTCCGCCAAGTTCGACTTCATCCTTCGGCACCTCCCTCCCGACAAGACGGTGTCCCACGCTCGCGTCGTCGACGCTGCGCTCACCCGTGCCGCTGAGGCGTGCGGCTACGAGGGCGTGCTCGGCGACGCCATCACCGCGCGGCGGGCTCGCCTGCCTGCGCGGATGCGCGGCCTCGGCCTGCGCTCGCTCGAGGAGGTGGCGCCGGCTGCGTTCTGCGCCTGCTTTGTCGAGGCGGCCGAGAGGTTCCTCGACAGGTCGACGCCCGGCGGCGGCAGAGAGCGCGGCTTCTTCCAGATGCTCGCTCCGCTCTTCGGCCACGGCGCCTTCGAGTTGCCGTACCCGAACAGCCCTCGCCTCTCGCGCTTCCTCTCGGGCTGCACCACCAACGTCAACCCGCTCGGCGCGCAGCTGGGGCAGCTGACGCCGACGGGCGAGTCCTTCAAGAAGGCGTGGGAGGGCATGCAGCGAGAGGTCCGCGGCGAGGGCGTGGCGGGACCTCTCGATGTCCGGGCTCCCGAGGCTGGCAACGGGCGGGCCGGCAGCGCTGGGCTACAGCGGCAGCTGACGCAGCAGCGGGAGCAGGTCAAGCGCAACCAGCTCAGCCGCAGCATCCTCGGGCTGCCGCACGGCGACACGCGGCGGGAGGCGTGGCTGGCCGTCGACTCGTTCTCGTCCGCGTGGGTGAGCTCATGGCCCTCGGCTCAGAACCGGTGCGAGGCGCGCGAGTTCCGCGAGATCTTCTGCACCTACCTCGGCCGGGAGAGCCCAGCCGTGCGCGCGCTCGTGGGCAAGAGCATCGCCTGCTCCGGCCGCGGCCCTCCTCGAGTCTGCGATGCCTTTGGCGTCCAGCTGGGCTTGGCGACGCTCAACGACCGCGCCCACGGCAACTGCCACGACGACATCTTCTCACGCGTGATCGGTGATGCGCTGCACGCGGGGCTGCGCGGCAAGGAGGAACCGCGCGAGATCTTCAGCGCCGTCATCCCGCCTGTCACACTCAACGGCACCGCTGGCACGCGCGGCAAGAACGGCATCGTGCCGGATGGGCGCCTGCACTGCAAGCTGCGCGAGTCCCGCACGGCGCGCTGCACGGGCACACGAGGCCAGGCGCATCCGTCTGTCCGGTGGCGCGGCACGACAGTGCAGCGCGGGCCCGAGCAGCCGCCGGCGGAGCACCTCCTCGAGGGCAAGACCATCCACCGCGGCGGGCCTCACTACATGAGCGCTCGGGCGCGCGACGATGGCCAGGGCGGCGCTGTCGCCGACAGGGCGAACCTTGTCCAGCGCGACTACGAGGCGCGGGCGGCGGCGCTCGATGCCAAGCCGCACGTGCAGGCATGGAACAACGGCTCGAGGGACGCCGTTTCCTCCGTGCTGCGCTCGTTTGGCACCGTGCGCAGCCTCGTTGTCGGGGCCTACGCGGAGGCGTCGGACGACCTGCACCAGCTGTTCGACTGTGTGGTGGAGTCGGCATCCAAGCAGCACTGGAGGCGGATCGGCGCGCGTAGCGCGAAGGAGGCGGCCGCGGTCCTACTTCGCTACGACGCTGCGGCGGGCGTGGGGCGTGCACTTTGCGCGCGAGTTCGCGCGGCACCGCCTCCGACGCGTGGTGTTCGTGGGGGCCCCGCGGCGACAGCCGGGCAGGCCTCTCGCGACGGCCGATGGCGCCTGGCCAGCGCTGTCGGCGGGCGAGTTTGCGGCGCACGCGCTGCGCGTAGGCGGCGCGTGGGCGGGCGGCCCGCCCGGCCGTCGGTGAGCACCGGACGCGAGGGTCGGTCGGCTCTTAACTAGCTGTATATAGTCGCGATCTGCCGGCGTGCGTATGAGCTCACTAGCTAGAGCTCACACTAGAGGCCGTCATCGCATTCGCCTTCCTGCCTGGGACCCAGCGCTGACTTCTGACTGTCGTTGCTGTCTCTCCCCCTCTTCTCGACTGTCTGTGCTTGTGCGTCTTGGGTCCGGAGTTGTGCGTTTATGTGAAGTGAAGAGATGTGAACAGGCCAACGCACAGCGCCATACGAGGTATTTTCTTCTCAATAACAAGGCTGTGAATTAGTGCACAGGCTAGGACGAAGTGCTCGCGGGACGAAGTGCTCTGACAAGCGCGCGCCGACGATCGTCCCGTCGGCTCGCAACCGCAACGCGCACTATTTTTTCGTTGGGCGACGATCATGCCGGGACGAGCGGCAACGCCTGCAGACGCTGCCGCATCGTGTTCCTTCGGCGGTTGGCTCGAATTTGTGTGGGTGCGCTTTGACGAGTCGTTCGAGGCCGTGCTGCCGCTCGTGCGCCAATCGCCAGTCACATTCTACCAGGTAGTCGACTCTGGCAGGGCCCATCCCTCGTACAGGACACCGGCTGCGGTACGCAACATCACTTGTGGCGCGTGTTGCCGACGTCGATTCGTGCCCAATCGCGGTCGCGAGACACCGGCGTACTTGCACTACATGGCGGAGCGCTACGACACACTACCACAGTGGGTGGCCTTTGTCCACGGTGCACCGCACGGCACAAGGCACACGCTGCATCGCGTGGCAGCGTGCCTCTGGCGTGAGGCGCCTCCAGAGTGGAATGCTGCAGAAACTGTCCCCGATTATGTGCCGATCGTGCCGACGACATACGTTGCACACCGTGATATCCACTACCGGGACTGGGAGCCAGGCTACGCGGAGCTTTGGCGTCGGTGGCGTTCAAGCTTCCGGCCAGCCAGCGCCGCGCTCGCGCGCGACGCGATCGACGACCCGACGCCACATCTGCCACGCCAGCACACGGGTGTGCGTAACGTCTCCTTCGAGTGCTGTGCGCAATTTCTCGCTTCCCGGCGCGCGCTGCGGCGCAACCCGCGGCAAGTGTACGAAGTTGGGCTCGAGGTGGCCCTCACCTTCGATGGTGCCAACCCAATCAAGGCATCTGTGCTCGACAAGGCCTCCAACTTCGGGCTCAATTGGGCGGGTTCGGCGTTCGAGCACATATGGCATGTCCTCCTCGGGCAACCGGTGCACATCGAGAAGCACTGCAACCCGTGCGCCAGTGAGGACAGTGGGCAACGCGGCATGGGCAACCCGAATGCGAGCCACGGACCGTTCCGCTGCTGCGCAACGACGACAGGGAGTTGTCCGGCGGACCACGCGGCGTCGGAACGCCCGCGCGCGCGTCACGCTCGGTGCGACGGAGCCGCTGAGACGCGGGACGGACGACAGCATGCAACAGCATGCACGCATGACCACGTGGGACCCTTAGTGCGTTAGCTGAGCCTCGGTATGCTCGCCTCGCGAGCTTCGGCGGGCGTAACCGTGTGGAAAGGGACCGAGCGTCGTGTGTTAGAGTACAATCTATCGTCGCAGCGACCGATCGAGTCCCGCGCTCCACGCGAGCCTGCACCCGCGCTCCAGCCGACACTCTCACGCTCTTCAACGTGGTAACCCGGGACTACTACGACTCCTACCACACCTCCGCCTGCGCGAGGGAGGTCTTGACCACCCACTCAAAGTCGAGCATGCGCTCCTGCGAGGTGAAGCGGTCGGCCTCGAAGCTGAACTTGGCGCTCCGCAGCTCGCGCAGCGTCTCGGCGAGCAGCTCCTCCGGTGGCGCCGTGGGCTTGCCTTCAAGTTCGGCTGAAATTCGAAAAAGAGTTGCCCAAGTTTTAGCTAAGCTGAGCAGTGTGTAGGTAGGTAGGTAGGTCACCCTCTCCCTCAAGGTCTCCTCTCCTCTCATCACCCGTGGTTCCCCGACGTCGGTGCGTGCTCGCTGCTCGGACAGCACATGCACAGGAGCCGCCGCTGCCGCAGTACTACTCGTCCGTGACGCAGCCCATTTGTGCGGACGAGACGGTGTTGATGTACCGCGCCATCGTGCCGCGCGTGTACTTGAGGGGTGGCGGCACAAACGCCGCCTGCCTCGCGGCCATTTCGGCGTCAGGGATATCGACGCTGATCGTGAGAGGCTACTCATGTGTCCTCGATGGATGGGAGTGGTCTGGGCGCGAACGATCGGTGTAAAATGGAGCTAAAAAAGCGCGCGTATCGCGTCATTGCGAGCGACAGCGCGTTGCTCCAGGAGGCCAGCACGGTCGAATCTGGCGATTCGACACCGGTCGCTGGGTGCTCCGGACCGGTCCCGATGGTGTGGGCACCGCGAGCGGCGCGCGGCGCCCTCATGCGGGCCGTGCATAGGCGGCGCGCTTACCAGTGTGGAAGATGCGCCTTTAGGCCGGCTGCACCAATACGATACCTCGCACTCCATGTGCGAGAACGCAGAGAGAAAATGAAAGCCGTCCGGCCCCCAAGTCCGGCTCACGCGCCCCGAGCTGACCCTCTACCGCACTGATCACTTCCGCCCCCTCGCTCCCAACCCATCCACCTCGCCGAGTGCCGAGGTCGGGCGATCTCACGCTATCTCGGGCGATCTCGGGGCCGCGCCGCGCTATCTCGGGCGATCTCGGAGCTTGGCCTGTACGAGGTTTTCCGGCAAACAAAAAGGAAAACCGAGGGTCCCCAGCACTTTGCGTTTCCGGAAATTTCCAGGGAAAACAGAGGGTGTTTGGTGCTCCATTCTGGAAACTCGCGAGTTTCCCTGAGTCTGAGAGCTGGTCTGGGGCAAAATCTGAGGCAAAATTGAGGAATCGACAAAATACCCAGGCGGTCGCCGGGTAATTTCCAGGTCTACACGGGTTCTCCGCAAAATTCCCGGTATTTTGCCGATTTGGCCTAAAATTTGGCTGATTTTGGGCCCAAACCAGCCTCAGACTCGGCTCAGAGCCAAAAATTTGACGATTTCCACGGAGTTTTCCCGGGAAAAGAGAGAGGAAAAGAGAGGGTGTTGTAGAGAAAAAAGGAAAGGAAAACAGACGGGGTGCGAGAGGAAAACCTCGTACAGCCTAACTCGGTCTCGGAGCGTCGCTCGCGCGGCGGCACACCTGCTCAAAAAAGGAAGGGCCCGGTTGGAGCCACGGGGCTCACGTGCTCGCTCGGTTCTCGCCGCCTCACTCTGCGCCACGAGGGCCGGTGAGGCGGCGCCCCGCGCGGCGCGTTCATCGCCCTCCACGCCGACTCTCGCTTTTTTTTTAGAATTTTACACCGAATCTCCCTCGCACAAAAACAAAACAAGAACACAACGCACTCTCTCACATGACAAGCGATCCCACGACAGCGATTGTGGGGACTACATGATCCGTACGTGAGGGGTGGAGGGGCCCGTCCGCGGAGCTAGGCGGTACGGGCGCCCTCCACTGCGGCTGAGCGCAAGAAGCCGTCCGCCGTTTGCTTGTTCGTGACCCAGTTGGTGCGCATCTTGCGCGCCTGCTTGTTGATGTTTTCGGCGTCGCCCGCCACCGCCGCCATGGAGATCTGCTGCGTGTGGTGGACGACGAAGGAGGAGGCGCTCGCCGACGCCGCCCCGTACACCGTCCGGTCCGTGTTGGTGCCCGCCGCTTCCTTGGCGAACACGTGGAGGCCGTCTCCATACGCGTGGTCGTTGACCCATCCCTTTCCAGTCGAGTGGTCGAGCGGTCCGTCCACCTGACGGCCACGCTCCTTGCACCCCACGACCGCCGTCAACGCCTTGTCCAGCGTGTTTCCAAACCCGTAGAGGTGGCCCACCGACGCCACACTGCCACCATCGTCCCACGAGCCCCTCTCCCCGACGTCGTCGACTTGATGAGAGGGTTCCAGCACTTGACCTCGTAATGCACGTCCCGCATCGTGGCGAAGTCACCGCCGAGCTCGCAGATGTCAGTCACGGACGTGTCGTTGAGGTGCCGCGTCACCTCGGGTTTTTTTTGAGGATGATGCTGCAACCGAGCGCGCCCGGATGGCATTCTGGGCGGCCCTTAGCACCCCATTGTGCTTGGAGGTGCGGTCGCCCTTGTTGGAGTTAGTACGGCGTTGAGCTGCGGCAGCGCATCATCGAGTACCGCAGCTGCCGGACATCGTGGTTCTTGTCGTCGTCTCGAAGCTGGTCTAACCCTCTAGAGCGACTAACGAAAAAATCTATTTTTGGGTGCCGAGCTTTTTTGAGCTAGCCTTCGATGTTATGAAAACAAACGCAAGGGCCAAGGCGGACACAAGCACATCGCTCTCTCGGTCCCACAGACATCCCGCACACCCGCCGCACACCCGCCGCCCCCGCGCGCGCCACACAAAAATCCAGGCCCCAAATGACGTGTGAGTGTTAGAGTTGTTTGGTATTGCTAAAAATCTCTCTCTCGCGCGCCCCACCCCGGCCGGGAGAGAGGGGAGTGACAGTTTGGGATTGCAAGTCGAGTAGCTTTGGTTGGAGCACTTGGAGCACTTGGAGTGCAGTCATCAGCCTCACATCCAGGGCCGGGGAGCTAAGGAGCGCACCTAGCGGACCGCGGCATGGCTTTTTCCCCTTTTTTCTGCTTTTAAATTCTGCTTTTTTGTCGATTTTTGAGCAGGCGCCGCGCGAGCGACCTCCAGGGTAAGCCCAATGGCGGCCTGCGCGGAGTGCGGTGTCCAATCTCTCTCGCTGGCAGTCGACCTTGCGAACCCTTCGGTGTCCTACTGCAACGGCTGCTGGGAGGCATACGAGGAGGAGGTGGAGCGGAAGCGGCTCATCTCCACTGCCACAAAGATCCTGAAGCGGCGCCAGGCTGACGTCGCTGAAACTCCGCGTGCCGTCAGCAAGAAGCCCGCGCCGGGCGCCGCCGTGCCGCCGCTTCCCGCCGCGCCACCTCCCACGGCGCCGCCCCGCCCCATTGTCGGCGGCGCGGCCATCGACATCCAGGCCGCCGCCGTGGACGCAAAGGTTTTACTCCGCGGAAAACGCGGCGAGGTCCTCGCCGTCGTTTTTCGCAACTTTGACGGCGCGCATGGCCGGCACGTCGTCAAGAGCGCCGACATTCGACCGGGCGAGTCCAACATCCGCCCAGGGACGGCCAAGGCGATGGCCGAGCCGGGCCGCACCTCGTCGCTGACAAAGGGCAACTCCATCTCGAACGACAACTTCGAGGTGCTCTTCAACTCCTCCCAGCCGCGCAGCCTCGACGCCCTTCGCGCCGTCCGGGCGGCGGTGTGGGCGGTGGAGGAGTCCGAGGGGCAGCAGCAGTCTCGCATCTTTGCGGCGGCGGAGGAGGGGCTGGACTGCTCGCTGCGCGTGCACGACTTCCCGCTCAAGCAGGAGGGCGCCGCGCCATCGAAACTCGCCCGCATGTTCTACGGCCTCAGCAGCGACCAGTTCAACTGGTGCCGGGTGCTCGACCGAAAGGAGGGCGGGCGGATGCACGGCCACGTCGACGAGGATGGGACTGATGGCGTCGTGCTGCTCAACCTCGGCGAGTGCGACATGTTCTTCGACCAGCCGGGTCGCTGCGAGGCGCGGCAGACGCGCGAGACGTGGTGCGTCGGCGGCGGCGGCGGCGGCGAAGGGCATTGGGTCGTCTGGGACGATGCGCCTCACAAAGGGAAGGAGTCGCGATACAGGACAGAAGAGCACTACACGCACCTGCTACGCGATCGGCTCTGCGCGGCGTGCGCGCGCGGCGAGAAGGGGCGCGAGTGCCGCTCCTGCAAGCCCGTCCGGCTGCGCAGCGGCGACGTCGTCGCCTTCTCCGGCTGCGCGGCGTTCCACGGGGTGCGCGCAGTCTACCGCGAGCAGCCGCCGCCGCCGACCGCCCGCGGGTCGCTGCCGGATTGGATGGAGTCGCGCCTCGGCCTCGGGCACCGCGTCTCGGTGCAGTGGCGGCTGACGGACCGCAAACGCGCGGAGGCGAAGCGGTTGAACGAGTCGCGGGCCTTCGCGGCGAGCGGAGGAGAGGGCGGCCCGTCGGCGGCGCCACCGCCCGCAGCGACGTTTCGCGTCGACCCGGCTGTGGTGGATTCGCTCTCTGCGATGGGGTTCCCGCGGGAGGACGCGCTCGCTGCCCTGGCCGCAGCCTTCGGCGACGCAGCTCGCGCGGTCGACTACCTCGTCGACCCCTCCTCGGTGCCCGCGAGCCGTGCGCAAGGCGGGCGGGAGGGGGAGGCCTCCCGGGGGGCTCGCACCATGGCGGAGCGCATCCGCAGCATGGCGGGAGGGCGCATCGTCTGGGACGACACCGAGCCGCTGCACCGCTGGATCGAGGCTGTCAAGCCGTCGCTCGTCCCGGCTGCACAGGTGGCGTGGGTGCAGGTACACAGCCGCGCGGCTGGCACGCCCGGCTCCTCGGGCGGCGGCGACTTCTCGGAGGCGCCGTACCAGCCGGCCCTCCAGCAGATCAGCGACATCATCGACCGCGGCGCCAACGTCCCGGCGGCAGCCAAGAGGGAGTGTGTCGAGCGCCTGCTGGACACTGCGCGGCGGCAGGGCTACACCACCGGAAAGTGGATGGTGTTTCTCCCGCCGGGCGTTGCCGACGCGGCGTGGGCGGCGATCGCGCGCGCCACGGCCACGGGCGAGCTCGGCTGCAGCGCCAAGGTCGCGCCGACCGGTGCAGGTCCGGACGAGCTCGTGCGCGAGGCTGTCGTCTGCTGCGTCTACGTGAGGGACTTCGACGAGCGCGCGGAGCTGCAGCGCGTGCTGCGCGCGCTGATGGCGCTGATGGCGCCGCTCCAGGTGCCGGTGACAGCCGGCTTCAAGCCCGACGCCTTCACGATGCTCGGCATCGATGGAAAGCAAAACAGGTGGCGCCTGCCGCCGACGGTGCACTCGGTGGCGGAGGCGCTCGCGTGGGACGTGGCGCCCGCGCCGCCCGCGCCGGGCACGCAGCAGGACCCGATCGAGCTCGATGGCTGAGAGGGAGGGAGGCGCACCGGGACCGGCACCCCGCTCCCTCTGTTTCCGGCTGTACCTCGCCGTATCTCGCCGCGGAAGCGCGCCTCTCGCGCTCTCGGCGCAGTGCGCCCGGCGGTGCGTCGCCGAGCTCCACTTTGTCGGCGGCGCGGGCAGCTCTGGCGCTCCCGTCTCGACTCCGAGAATGCGCCTGCCAGGCGCTCGCTAGCGCAGGGGCTTTCCTACACTAGTACGGCGGATTGCCCCGCTGTAGGCCGGTGCGCGGTGGTCCTTTCTGAACGCTCTCTGGTCTCTCTCCTCGCTAGCTCTGCTTGTACGCGGTGCAGTCTGTAGAGAGTGAGGCTCTTCTGTGCACACGACATGCTTGGTGTGTGTGTGGTCCGCTCCTCCGCTGGTGCTGTCGGAATCTCAGGTTCGTGTGCCGTAGTACCGATAGGCATGTGGTACTGCTACTGGCTGGCGCTACGTTTGGAATAAATAAATAAAACGGGGGGTCGCAGCTGGAGCTGCCTCCTTGCTCCTTCCTGGTATGACTCCGAGCTCGAATTTTCCGACGCTGAGGCGCGGGATAGGGTGGCAGGGGTTGTGCACGACGCAGTGCAGCAGGCTGTGATGCAAAATATGGCTACGTATGATGACGAGCTCTACCAGGCATGGAGGGACGGCGAGATAGGCGAAAAGGACTTGCCGGAGGAGGTGATGGCTATGACTTTGGACCTTTGCGAGAGGTGGCGAGCGGAGCAAGCGCGGTGTAGGCGCGCCCACGCGGCGCAGCGGCTCTCCCGCGACCATAGCCCCTCCCGCAGCCGCAGCCGTAGCCGCAGCCGCAGCCGTAGCCGCAGCCCCAACTCTTGCTGCTCTTCTAGTGTCGGGTAGTGACCAGGGGGTGAGGGGACGGATTGAAGATCCCTCACACCAAGATCGTGCAGGGCGGGGACACATGTCCCTAAATCCCATCTCGTCTCAGAGTTTGACCGTTTTTATTTATTTATTTATTTATTTGGAGCTGCCTCTGCGCGTCCTGGGTATGTACCTTTGTCGCGCGCCGGAGACGACTCGACGCCGCTGAGATCGGAGACCAAGCTCTGACAGGTCGCACGTCGCTCCTTTGACGCCGACGAGACTCACCCGTGCAGATCACATCAGGACACGGTCTCAACACGCTCGGTACGACGCCTGCGACCCGTCTTGGGTCAGGTGGCACGACGCTCATCGCGCCTACCAGCGCTGCCGTGCAGGTTGCCACGACGAGGTCGAGCACGCTTCTATACGCTCGCCCAGCCTTCCTTTCCACCCCATTAGGCAGCGGCCTGGGAACGGTGGCGGTCAGAGGCAAAGCCTGCGAGGGTGGTGGAACCACATGTCACGGCTACCGCCGGCTCGACCCCACGATAGCCTCCGGAGGCTGACTTTGAGGCACAATCATCGGACGACGTCGGCGAGTTGAGTCGCGCTCGCGGTAGCCAGATGACCTCTCATACTAGTATCATCGGCCATGGCCGCAGGAAGCGCGGGGGGCTCCGCTGGGAGCAACACGGAGCTCCGTTGGACGCGTTTTCAAGATCAGCGTGTCAGAGTGAATTGGAACCAGCCACACCTCTCTACTGTGAGATGGGTAAAAAGGAACACAGGTCCCCGCCCGTGCGATCTTTGTGCAGGGTTCTTTGTGGGTGTGGTCGGCGACTAGCCGGGGTCGTCCTCCCGACGGGGGACTAGCACTAGCCGTCTTCCACATGGTCCCTCGGGTCCCTGCTGCTCCTAATCTCTTCGTACATCCTCCTGCTGATCTCCGCAAAGTCCTGCTCCCTCCCTCATCTCGCCCTCTGCGCGTCTGCTCCGCCCCCACATCGTCTGCCCTGCGTCGTCTGGCGACGGGTCCTCCACAGTCGGCGTTGTGGGGTGGACACATCGCCAGAAAAGAATTTTACAAACCAACTCCCTCTGTGCGTCCTGGGGAGGGACAAAATTGTCGCCGCCGGAGACGACTCGACGCCGCTGAGATTGGAGATCAAGCTCTGACAGGTCTTGGCGACAATTGGCCCTCTGTCTTGGCGACTCTCTTAACGTTAAGGGCATGTGAGGGCATGTAAAGCCGTATGTGTGTGCGCGCGTTTAAGTGTGCCCCCAGAGAGTGACAGTCGTGTAAAGCTTTTGCAAACCCAATTCTGGTCCGGGCGTCATCTATAGCCGCTAGCGCTACTTCTTACGATCTTACCCTTCGCCTCGAATCGATGATGCACAAACCGTATCAAACCCCCTCTAGCGTCTTTAAAAATCTCTCTCCAACCCCCGAGTGAAGGCTGAAGCGGGCCTCAGTGTTTTCTCTCTCGCTCTCCAGACGCTCTCCCTAGCGCGCTCTCCCCCACCTCCTGTTCGCGCCTGCGGCGCCCTTCTCGCTCCACGCCTCCCTCGCTGCATATTTATTTTTTATTTTGTGGAAAATGGCCGCTGGTCTGCTTGCGCAGGCGGCCCTCTCGGCGGCCCTCTCCTCCCCGCTCTCGGGCTGCTGGTCTCGCTGCGACGCGGTCACTCGCCTCGCCTCACCCACGCTATTCCGCACCCCGTCTGTCCGGTTGGCGGTGGCAGCAGAGGGCACTCCGCCTCCGGCTCCGCTCACCCTGTCAAAGGTCGCCGAGCTCGTCGAGGCCACATTTGTCCGTGCCTGCATGGACGCGGCGCGCGGCGACGTCACCACGCTTAAGCTCTTCATCGCGTCTGCTGTGGGCGGCTACCGGCTCGGGGTGCCGCTGCCTGCGCTGGGCTCCGCGGTCGCGGCGTGCGAAGCGGAGCACTCGACCGCGGGCCGGCCGCTGCTGCCGGAGGAGGCGGAGCTGCGGACGCTTTGGCTCTCCCTCGTCTACCTTACCCTCGAGGCGGAGGGGGAAGCCGCGCCGCCCGGCGGGGACGGCGGGGACGGCGGGGACGGCGGGGACGGCGGGGACGGCGGGGACGGCAGGGACGGCGGGGAGGAGCCGCTTGCCGCCGCCAGCGTCGACGCGAGCGCGCGCGACGAGTACTCTCCCCTGGTGGAGGAGGTGCGGAGAAAGGTGGGCGGGGGCGCCGCGCTCGGCGACCTCTCGGTGGACGACCTCGTCGGCGCCGACCCGCAGCGCACGCCGCTCAGGGCCGCCGTGCTGGCAAACTGCGTCCGCGTGGCGTTTCTGACGCTCGGCGTACTCGGCGACGAGCGGGCGGCGGGCGCGACGACGGCGCGGCCCTACATCCCGGGGACGGGGCCCAAGCGTGGCGATGGGCAGCCGGCGTGGTGATTCGCTCGCAGAATACCTCAGACAGTACGGCCTCCCTTAAGTCCGGCGCCGCTCGCCTCGCGGCGACCCGTCCAGTGTCGCGGTCGAGCTGTGCGCTCCAGGCATGTACGTAAAAGGCCAGTCAATTTTCCAAAAAGGAAGAACAGGCACCAACGCGCATCAACGCGCGCGCATCCGCCGCGCCCGCCCTCAGCCCTTGACAGAGTACCGTATGCCTCCAGCAGCGCAGCGAAAGCTTGCTGCGCCTCGCAGTCACTCGCACCCCCGACCCCCACGCCCCAGCCCTACACTCAGCGCCCCCCCGCCGGCGCGCCTATCCCCCCGCCCGCGCGCCTATGTGCTGAACCGACTTACACCAGGGCAATGCTGCCTATCCGTGCCGTCCCCATTGTCGCCACCGTCTCCCACGCATTCTGCGCCGGATCGTACCGCTCGACTGAGCTGAGGAGGCCGTCATCGGATTCGCCGCCCACAGCATACAACTTGCCGTCGAGCACCGCCACGCCGAGCTTATTCCGCGCCTCTGCCATCGGCGCCACCGCCTCCCACGCATCCAGCGCCGGATCGTACCGCTCCACCGAGCTGAGGTAGCCGTCGCCGTTCTCCCCGCCAACAGCGTACAGCTTGCCGTCGAGCACCGCCACGCCGGGATTATGACTCACCGCCTCCACAGGCGCCACCTCCTCCCACGCGTTCGTCGCGGGATCGTACCGCTCGACCGAGCTGAGGGTGAAATCAGGGTCGATGAAGCCTCCCACAGCGTACAGCGTGCCGTCGAGCACCGCGACGGCGTGAGCATATCGCGCCGTTGCCATCGGCGCCACCGCCTCCCACGACTTCGTAGTCAGGTCGTACCGCTCCACCAGGTTGGCCGTTGCGCCGTCAGCCTCACTCACGCCGCCCGCCACGTAGAGCTTGCCATCGAGCCCCGCCATGCCTGCATACCTTCGTGCCGTTGGCATCGGCGCCACAGCCTCCTCCTCCCACTCATTCGTTGACGCGTCGTACCGCTCCTTCGAGCTGATGAGGCGTCCAGCGGTCACGACCAGGCGCGGCCTCTCGCGCTTCTTCAGCGTCTCCTTCCAGCCGCGGCGCCACGCGCGGCACGTCCCCTTGGCGGCGTGCTCCTTGGTCGGCAGCTGGGCGAGGATGTGCGGGGCGAGGTCCGGCGAGAGGAGGACCTCGGAGAGCACCCACTCGGGCTGCTCCACGAGCCGCGCGGCGTGCTCCTCTGCCACGCGCAGCGCGGCGTCGCTCGCGCCCGCCTGCGCCTCGATGATGGCGCACAGCTGCGCTGGCGACAGGCCCGCGACGCGCGCGCCGATGCGGTGGGAGGCCATCGTCGGGACGAGTAGCGGGAGGATTCGCTCGCAAGGTGTGCGGGATTAGTTCGGCGCGAGCCTGTGCGTACTCAATGAGCGTGCAACCTTAGGAAACGATTTCTTTGTTACTCGATTGGGATTCCGCGGCTACGCCGTGCCTCCTCATGAGCATCCCGCGCAGCCTCCCGTCGGACAGCGAGGTCGAGGCCCTCGACAACGCAACCTCTCAGAGCCTCCGCCACCGCCTCTCCCAGCACTGGCGCACCTTCCGCTTTTCACAATACGGGAGACAGACAAAAGAGCGAGCGAGAGTCGAGAGAGCGACGGAGAGAGGTATCTCTTATCTGGCAGCGTGGCACCGCGCGGCCAGCACGCGCATGTATGATGTGTACCGAGACGACTTCTATAGACTATAGCCCGATCCTCACGCCTTCCGCTGTGCATATGTGGTCTTCATTGATCCACGGGCCTCGCGCAGGCAGTGCCAAGCTTATGAGCGCTCCCGCCCCCGGATCCACCCTTACTATTCTCAATCCTGGCCGCGCGTGCCCAGCTGCCAGCTCACTGACCAGTACACGGGGAAGAAGATGCCGTCCGAGAAGCAGCTTCTCGCCAGGCAGGGCACAAGGCCGCGGAAAAAGGCGCGCTCCCCACCCGTTCGAAAGAGTTGGCGCGCAATGTCCGCGGCGCCTTCCCAGCCGAAGGGCTGCGCCGCCATGCGCGTGCGCACCACATCGAGCGGGTAGATGGCAGCCCACGAGGAGACACCCGAGAGAGACCCGGCTCCCACAAGCTTGAGCGCCTGTGTCGCGCCGTCGCCGCTGTCGCCGCCGTCGCCGCCGCCGCCCTCGGCAAAGTTGACGGTGAGCCAGCGGTTCCCGCCAAAGTAGATTGCGCCCGAGACCAGGTCCATCACCACGCACACGCCGATGCCGCGGTATAGGCCGCGAAAGCCGGAACGGCAGACGACAGTTTGCACAACCTCTAGCGGGCCCGAAAAGGCGCGGCCCTCATGCCGCACCTGCAGCAGAATCTTGATGCGATCGCAGGGGTGCAGATAAACTGCGCCGAGCGCACACGTGACTGAGCCGGCGACGGCACACTCTCCCAGCGTCGGCGTTGCTGGCTCGTCGCACAGTGCCCGCAAGACAGCGCTCAGACAGCCAAAGCTCAGCGCCGAGCGGACCGTGGAGGCTGCGAGCGGCACGCTCAGCCCTCGCCAGAATGCCGACAGTCCCTCAGCCGCGAGGATGCTGCGAAAGGCGGCTACCGCGCCTGGGAACGAGCCGACCTGCATCCGCACGCGCAGCGTATCGAGCGGGTGCGTCAGGAACGTGCTGGCCGCGCCTGCACAGGCGCCAGCCGTAAGCTCGTTCCGCGCGCTCTGATGGCTGGACGACGGCGCCATATCCTCGAATTGGTGGCGAGAGAGATAGGATTCCTACCCGGTAGCGGCCGGCCGAGCTTTTCGCGGGCGGTGAAGCCTGCCCGCCCGGGGCCAACAAAATTTCTTTTTTGCAAAAGAGGGCGGCCGACGCTGACTTCTCCCCGCGGGCGGGAGCCCATCGCACCGCCAGGTGGAAGAGAGAGAGAGGTAGTGGGCTCTGAAAAAAAAGTGGGGGGTGTGAGACTGCGTCACAAAGTCAAAGAGTGAAGAGACTACCATCCGTTTGTATTATTAATTAACAGCGAAGGTGCTCAAATCTCGCCGACCCGACAGGCACGCGACACAGGTGAGACCTCGAATGCATGGCGGCAAATTGATGTTTAAAGCACACGACTCACTGTGAAGCAGGCGTCAAGGCTGAATAATAACGTTAAACATGGTCGCAGAAGCGAACCGACGAGACCCTGCCGCAGCTGCCCCTGCCGCAGCTGCCCCTGCCGCAGCTGCCCCTGGCGGCGTCCGCGTCCTCGCCCCCCACGTCGGTCGCCACTGCGGGCTCTGCAACGCTGACGACAGTGGCGGCAGTGGAGACCACTGATCGCCGCGGCGTGCCACCACTGGACGCCTCCGTCCCGCACGACCGCGCGGCGCTGCGCTGGAGGGCGGGCGAGCGGCGCGTCGAGCGCTCCTCCAGGACGGTCCTCGCCCACAAGTTGAATTGCGACAGCGAGCCGTAGCTCGACTCGATGACGGCGAGAAAGTGGTGGCGGTCGGCCGGGAGCACGCAGCGCGCCTGCTGCGCGTCAAAGGCGGCGAGGGACTCCGAGACGGTCTGCAGCCCCTCCTCGGTGGCGCAGGCGGCGATGGGCACCACTGTGATGGCCTCGCGCCTGCCTCCCATCTTGAGGTAGGCAAATAGCTCCATGACGCACCACAGGCGCGAGGCATACGTCGGCCCAGCGAGAATGAGGAGTGATCTGCAGCCAGCAATAAAGATGGGAAGGCAGGGGAGGGCGCGAGTGATGTCGTCCTGGTCCAAGCAGGCCTTGTCGAACCAGAGCCTCGGCGTCCGGCCGTGCCGGTCCTCGAAGGTGCTGGCCCACGCCTTCAACGCCTCCCACTTTGCGGCAGGCGGGTCGTGCCAGCTGTGGCTGATGAAGCAGTCCACCTCGCCTAGCCCGCACCGCTCCGTGCGCTCGGCAAAGTCCGCGGCGCCCGCCTTTGGCCCGACCGGTGACGGGCATGTTGCGGAGCCCTCGCGCCGGCTGGACGGCGCGGAGTTTGCGCCGCCGCGCGAGCACTCCGCCAGATCCTCAAAGCAGAGGCGGTCGAATCGGATGCAGCGGAACTCGGCCTCCGCCACATGGAGGAGCTCCTTCTGCGTCATGCGGCGGCGAAACGAGCAGAGCGACGCGAGCAGCGCCGCCTCCCGCTCCTCCTTGGTTGACCCGAGCCGCCCGAGCGCCGCGAGCGCATGGCCGCGAAGCCAAGGGCTGAGCAAGAAGAGAGAGGAGCCGACGAGGGAGGCGCCGGCCGCCATGATGGGCAGGAAGGATGGATGGTGCCGGTACGGCTTCTCAAGCCGCGCCGCCCGCAGGCCAAAGTAGCCCAGCACGAGCAGGCCGAGGATGCCGAGCACCAGCCGCGCGCTCGCGAGCAGAACGGCGAGCTGCTGTCGGGGTGGCAGCGTGCGAGCGGTGAGCGCGTACGCGGTGAGCGCCGCTCCGGAGAGGCCGATGACGGACTGCGCGGCGTAGTACCAGCACAGGCCAGCGGGGTCTGAAAGCGCGACCGTCGAAAACGAGCGGGCGACCCACGGGCCGTAGAGCGCCAGGCCGAGGCAGCCGATCAGGAAGAGCGCGCAGCCAACGCGAATCTCCTGCACGTCCGTTGGGCGAAGCGAGAGGAAGAAGAGCGGGATCGCCGGGATCGCGATGCAAACTAGGGAGATGGGGTTTACGTGCGCGAGACGAGTGGGCCAGTAGCCGCCGTCCGCCGAGTACATCAGCCACGGAGTGACGCCCCAGACGATGCACGTCGCTGCCAGGGCGAGGACCGCCTCCTTGGCATCGGCAGCGAGCCTCCGGTTCTGCCTCGTCGCACCCCGCAGCCGCTTCCGCACCGCCTCGCTCCGGCGCAGCTTGCTGTAGGCCGCCGCCCGCCCGGTTGCTGGCGCTCGCAGCGAGGCGCGCTGGCTCTGAGCGTCGTCAAAGGTGGCCGTCTCCTCCGCGACGCGCCGGTGGCAGCGGCGGACGAGGACGAGGACGAGGAGCGTCAACGAGAAGCCGCCGCAGCCAGCCAGGTACGCGACGAACAGTGGCGTCGCCCGACGTCGGGCTGCCTCGTCGGCAAGCGCGTAGTCAGAAGCGTAGTCGGGCGACATCTCGGCAGAGCGCTCGCAGAGGCAGTGGAAGCGCCACTCGCACGGCTGATCTCGCTGCTTACCCGACGGTCCTTGCACGGTGGCGCAGTCCTCGTCCACTCGCCTGTTGTTTGGCTGCCCGAAGGCCCAATTGCGGTAGCCTGGGTCGCAGCGCAGCGCAGACGGCTTCCACCCAGCCTCGGCGCCCTGGTCGGTCGGGTACTGGTGCAGCCCGAACCAGGCAACGTAGGTCTCTGTCTCAAGCAAGAGGCTGGCGGCGGCGGCGGTGTCGCTGTCGCTGTCTATGCACGCAAGGGCGCCACCGGCAGCCACGCACTCTGCGGCGCAGCCGGCGTGCGACTGAGCTGTGACAGTGATGAAGTAGGAGGAGTTGCTCGAGTGAGGAGGCTCCGTGCTGGCCTGCGCTGTGCCGGCCAGCGCTGCCACGAGCGAGAAGGCTGACATTGCCCAGCGCGCCCGCTGCGCCGCTGCCAAGGTGGAAGCGTGAGAATGATGATTACACGGCGTCTTGGACTTATTTCTTTTTTTATTACCTGTTTTTCCCGGCCACTCATGCTGAAATTCTGCAAAAACCTTCAGCCGGGCCCTGCCACCCCTTTGGCCTGTACTGGAACTGCTGTGTGAGCGCACTTTCTTTTCTTCTTTGGACAGGCAACCGCACTCGTGTGTTCTTCTAAAGCTCCACCTTGTCCTCATCCTCCACCTCCTCCATCTCACTCGTCTCGCGTGGCTCCTCCCCGCGGTCCTCCGCCGCCGGCGCCGCGCCCGCGCCGCCGTCGCCCTTCCCGAAGCCGCCGAGGTTGATGCCGTCGAGCATCTTCTCCATCTTCTTGAGCTCCTCTGTCGACTGGCTCGCTCCGCCGGCGAAGCTCATCCCCTTGGCCGCGAGCTTCTCGAGGATCCTTCGCCTCTCGGGGTCCTTCTCCGCGCTAAAGTCGCCGCGCATCTGCCGCATCATGTCCTCGTACTTGCCGCCGGGACCGAAGTCGCCGCCGAGGCCCTCCAAGCCAGGCATGCCAGAGCCCTTCGGCTTCTTGTACTTCTTATCCGGGTACTTTTCCCAGTACCTAATGGCGTCACGCAACCTCGCGGGCGCGCCGCGCGGACCGCAGCGTGCGGTGGCAGCGGCTACTTGCGCATCACGCCCTCCTTGTACGCCTTGGCCTTGAGCGCGTCCTTTGACAGGCCCTTGTAGCTAACGCCAACTTCGTCGAAGATCTCCTTGAGCTCTGCGGCGGCGGCGACGGAGGAGTGGGTGGGTGTTTGTGCTCTCACGCTGCGAGTAGGACACTCGCAGCGCTGCGAGAGGAGCGCTGGAAGCACGCACGTCGAGTCGTCTTCATCTTGATGGCCTTCTGCTCCTCCTCCTTCTCGGCCTGCGTGCGCGCCGTCGAGGGGGCGAGCAGCAGCAGCACGCAGAGCCACAGCAGCGCCATGGGCGGCAGACGGAAGGCGCGCAGGGTATTGCTGCCACGTCAACAGGTACAGGTGGTGGGATAAAAAGGACTGCGGGGTGTGTGTGTGTGTGTGTGTGTGTCACTCACACAAAGGACTGCTGGTGGTGAAGAAATATGAAAGATCTCAGCATCTCTCCAAAGCACAGCCCTGCTCACCACCACTTGGTGACCCAGGTAGCCTCTGTGTGAGTGTGAGTATACACACACTCACTCACGGTAGCCTCTGGCTCGCCTTTGCATTCGGCTCCACCCCAGCTCTCTGGAGCTTCGCCACGACAGCACGCCGACGGCAAGCTCTGAGGTCCGTCTGGTGGGCCTGCTATATGGCCACAGCCGCCGCCCCGCACATGCAGCTCGCACCATGACTCCAGCAAACCGTCGTTCGTATAAGCCATATACCCGGGTACGAAAATGCAGGCCTCTCACACAGCACACTGGCACTAAATATAGCCGTGTGTGCTGGCGTCCGGGTCCCAGCGGGTTTTAACGTTACAGCCCACGGAATAAAGAATCTTACAACAAAACTCCCTCGCACAACACTGGGCACAGCGAGGTTCCGCAGCGCCGCCGCGGCCTCCACTTTCTGCCCGTCCGTGCCGCTGCGCACCAGCGCCACGAGAGGCGCGATCCCGCCTGCGGCCGCAATCGCCGCTTGGACGTCAGCCTTGTGCTTGCGCAGGTCCACAACGTTGTCATCGTTGGCTCCCGCGAGGTTCGCCAGCGCCGCCGCGGCCCGCTCCTTCAGCTTGTCCCCTCCGCTGCTCAGCTGCAGCACCAACTCCGGCACGTCGGACATACTGTGGCAGGTCCTCTGCCGTCTGTTTGCTGCCCGCTTCATCAATGCCGGGACAATACTACTCGAGATCGCCCGCGCGTGCTCCTCCTTCGCCACGCGCGCCGCCGCCACCGCGCTCGCCGCCTGCCGCGCCGCCACCTTCCACCGGTTCTTCTCACCGGCCTTGGCGTCATTCTCCGTCTCCCACGCGGCCAGCTCGGCCTCGGCGCGCGCAGCCGCCGCCTTGCTCGCCGTCAGCTCGTCCTCTATCTGCCGAGCGACCTCGCTAAGCGCGCCCTGCACCGACGCGTCGAGCGCCTTGATTTTCGGCAGCTGCCCCTCCTTGTCCTTCTGGTTGGTGACAGTGACGTCGGGCTTGGAGAGGAAGGCGTGCGCCTGCTCCGGCGTCTTTTTCGCCCACTGGTGGACGAGCAGCTTCGTAAATGACTCGGCCTGCGCAGCGGCGTTCTGGATGCAAACAATGTGGTGCCGTTCGTTCTCGGTGCCCACCGCCGACTTCAGGCCGGAGGGGGTGGCGTACTGCATGGACATCCACGACTCAAACTGGGTCCAGAAGCGCGACACGTACGACATATCGAGGAGGATCAGGACGGTGGTGCCGAGGAAAAGCCGGTTCACCTCCTTCAGCATCCTCTTGAAGGCGGCCGCGTCCTCCGCGCAGCGCGAGCCCTTGGGCTGGTCCTGCGGCATGCACGCCGAGTCTATCCAAACACGCTCAATCTTCTTGCCGGTGGGCGAGTTGAGGAAGCCCTTGAGCGCCTTGAGCTGCTCGCCGTCGGGGTCCGGGTCGTCCGGCTGCATCCAGCGGTGCGAGACCGCCAGCGTCGTCTCAATGTGGGTGCCCTTCACCACATCGGCGTAGTCGAGCGACACTTCGACGAGCGGCCCTTCGGTGGTGTACTTGTCTCGGATCTCCTGGAAGAAGGGCAGGCTCTTGCCGGGGAACTGGCGCACAAAAACAGCGTCCAGCATGAAGAAGGTGCGCGCGTGGGCGCTGCCGTCGTCGTCGCAACGCTGGTCGGAAGACATCGGAAACAAGGACTGCGCAGAGACGCTAACACGCCTTGATTGGCGAGTCACGTTCGTTGTTTGTTTTTTTCCTCTCATCCCGACCATGGCGGCGTGTGTGAAGGATGCGCGGCCGAGCCGCTGGCTGGCGCCGCTTGAACGTCCAAGATGGCCGCAGCACAGACCAGACGCCGCGCCGCAGGCCAAACCAAGCCGGTTTGCGGTCGAGCTGTCGAGCTGATTGGGCCGGCGAAGAGTTTCGGATCGGAGTACACCAACCTGGCCAAGCGGAGCGAAGTCAAAATCGGACGTGCGAGAGAGAGTGTGTGCCAGCGAGTGGTCGTCCGAAAATCGAGAAAAAATGTCTTGCTATTTCTGCAGTTCCCGTGCCCCATTCATGTCCCCAACACGGGCGCATGCACTCCGTAGCCTCAAACTCCGCTGTCACTAGGGGTCCAAGAAAAGAGAAAACCAAACACCAAGTGACACGCAAAACGCAATCGCGAAAGGACAAGGTCAAAATCATGATACGCCATGCTGCCGCCCATGTTCCCACCACCGGAACTATAACCCCCGTCGCCTCCACTCTCATCGCCCTTCGCGCCAGCACCTTCAGTTCCGGGCTGATGGTCGTTATTGGCGTTGACATCATCTGCGACGACTTCTCGTAGGCGCCGGCCAGTGAAATCGCGACACCGATGGTGAGAAGAACAATAACGCCGGAGCCAGCGAAACCGCGTGCAAGGACAGGGCGAATGGCCTGGCCCGGTGGTGCGGGATCAATTATCACCTTCGTGTACAACATGTGCCTGAGGAGCAAGCGGAAGGCGCGTGACGCGTCATGGCCCGGGCTCGCAATAGGTTAAAGAGCGCAAGGCTCGCAATAGGTTGAACTCGTGGAGGCCGATCTCGAGAGCGAGAACGAGGCGGCGCGGGCGGTGGCGGTGGCGCGGATCACCGAGCAGTGCGAAGCGTCGCACGCGCCTTCGATCTTCGCGCTATGCTGCCGGCTCGTCCCCGGCTGGAGCGTGGCCACAGACACGCTGCTGAGCTGCGAGCCGGTCGGCGGCGGTTTCTCGGGAGCCAAGCTGTGGAAGGTGTCGCGGGCTGCCGGCGACAACGACGCCAGCGGCAGCGGCGGCGGTGGTAGCGGCGTGGGGGACACGATGACCTCCGGCTGAACATGCCGATCGCGGGCCGTCGCCGCGGCCAAGGCCGGCGGCGCGCTCAGGACGAGATCGCCAAGTGCCTGGCGCCCGGCAAGATCGGTGGCGTCGACTGCGCCGCGCTGGACGCGGTGCAAGGCTCGAGCCGGTTCCCTCAGATGTGGCACGATCCGCTCTTCGAGTCGTTCACCGCGCTTGAGTACCTCAAGGGCGGCGACCTCAGGGACGGGGTCGGCGGGACCATGGCCTTTGAGCACGCCGAGACGGCTGCCGAGCTCGGTGCGGCCATCGCTGAGTTCCACTCGGCCGGCCGCGGCGACTGGCACGCGAAGCTGACCGGTGGCGTCAACCCGCTCGACACAGTGGCCGGCAAGATGCCGCGAGCACTGGTGATGGCGCTCCGCGTGGCGCGATCGGACGACCTCGTGTCGCTGTTCCGGGCCTCGACGATGCTCAACCGGCCGTGGATCGTAAAGCAGCTGGCCACGATTGCGGCGCTGCTGCCGCCTGGCTCGCTGCTCGGCCGCTCCGTCGTCGGACACGGCGACTTGCACGACGGCAACCTGATGCGCCGCGAGGCCGGCGGCAGTAAAACTGATCTGGTCGTGTGCGACTTTGACCGCGTTGCCGTGATGCAGGCTGCCGCCGACCTCGGCGGGTACATGGGGAACCGCGATGGCAGGTACAAGAAAAAGTGGCCGATGCTCGAGATCCGACGGGCCGCTGCCACGGCTTACATCGAGAACACCCCGGCCGACGTGCTCGCCGGCTGCACCCGAACCACGGTGGACGAGGTGGTGATCGACATGGAGGCCGGTATGCTGATGCGCACCGCGTTTATTGCGCTGGTGCTGCCCGGGTTCCTCCCCGGACAGATGGGCGTGACCATCTCCAAGTGGCTGTGCGAAACCAGGATCAAGAAGGCTGCTGAGGTGCTTCAGCGGTGCGCGACCGACTCGGCGCTGGCCGAGCGGGTGCTCCGCGAGGGGGTGCTCGTCGTCGCCGACGTCGCCTAGCCGACCCCCCAGCTGCTGCCCGCCTTCTTCAGTCCCGCCGGCGTGTACATTGACGTGTTAAGTAGCTCTGTTTTAGTACCAAGTTCTGAGACTAACCTCGCATCTCCTCCCCCGGTGGGTTCGGGAAGGGGGGGTCGGCGAGAACCGAGATCCTCTGGAAGGCGGCGGACGTGCTGCAGCACAAGCTGGCGCGGGAATTGGCTAGGGCTGCAGAAGCAGCGTATCTCAGTCGTTCTTCACGGTTCACGCGGCCATCGCAGAGCAGATTGTGAATGAGCTTGCCTGCGGCGAGGGCGGTCGAGTGCACGGAGCTAAGTGCCTCGCCGCCCTCGCGGGAGTCGCTTAGGCGGCTCCCGTGGTGTACCTGTGTTAGTAAAGAAAGAAAGAAAACGGACAACCCAAGGGAGGGATGGTGTTAGTGCCAGTGCGTGGGCTAGAATTCTTCCTTCGCACTGCTGCCCACCCGGCGCACCTGCGCTGTCGTCGCCGCCGGAGGCCGATGGCGGACGCGCCGGCTGCCGAGCCGGCCGAGGAGGACGTCATCGTCGACCCGTGGACCGTCTCTGGCAACATCAACTACGACAAGCTGATTGAGCAGTTTGGCTCGCAGCCGCTCACGCCCGCGCTGATTGAAAAGTTCGAGCGTGTGACGGGCCGCACGGCGCACACGTGGATCCGGCGTGGCATCTTCTTCTCGCACCGCGACCTCGACGCGATCCTGGACAACCACGCCGCCGGCAAGCCCATGTACCTGTACACGGGGCGAGGGCCGTCCTCCGAGTCGCTGCACCTCGGCCACCTCATCCCGTTCCACTTCACAAAGTACCTGCAGGACGTGTTCCGGTGCCCGCTGGTCATCCAGATGACGGACGACGAGAAGTTCCTGTGGAAGGACCTGCAGCTCGACGAGTGCCACCGACTCGCCGCCGAGAATGCCAAGGACATCATCGCCTGCGGCTTTGACATCACTCGCACCTTCATCTTCTCGGACCTCGACTACATCGGCTCGATGTACCCAAACATCGTGCGGACCCGCACCCTGGCCCCGCCGAGCCGCGCGCGCGCGCGCGTCGGCCCTCACGGCGCGCATCTCCCGGGTGCGGGCAGGTGCGCATCCAAAAGGCGGTGACGTACAACCAGGTCCGCGGCATCTTTGGCTTTGACGACTCGTGCAACATCGGCAAGCACGCCTTCCCGGCGGTGCAGGCGCGGACTCGGGTCGGTCTGGGTGCGGGGAGGAGGAGGGGGGGGGGGGGGGGGGCTTTTGCCCCCACCCCGTCGCGGCGGTGCATGCGACGGGAGTGGGCGGAGGCACGAGAGTGGGCAAGAGGCTGGGCTCTCCTCTGCCGGGGCCCGCCCAGAGCCGCGCGCCCGCCGCCGCCCACCACCCCACCACCCCGGCATCACTCCCCGCCACCTCCCGCCGCTCCCCGCCGCTCCCCGCCGCCACGCCGCCCGCCTCGCCCGCCTCGCCCGCCTCGCCCGCCGCAGGCGGCGCCCTCCTTCCCCAGCTCCTTTCCTCACATCTTTGGCACGCGCGTCGACATCCCCTGCCTCATCCCGTGCGCCATTGACCAAGACCCGTACTTCCGCATGACGAGGGACGTCGCGCCGAGGCGCGGGCTGCCCGAGAGCCGCGCGCATGCGGGCGGGCGGAAACCTCGCGCCACGCCTCCGACCTCGTCGCCCCGCAGGCTCGGCTTTCTCAAGCCGGCACTGCTCCACTCAAAGTTCTTCCCCGCGCTGCAGGGTGTGCACGTCTCGCAGTCGCCCCCCACGCTCCCGCCCCCCCACCCACCCACCCACCCACCCACGCGCACACACGCCGCCCGCACCGGCCGCGCCGCCCGAACCGAAGCCAAGGCCGCAGCTGTGCCTGGACGCGTCCACTCGACGCGTCCACGGCACGAGACGCGTCCACGACACGTCCCCAGGCGCCGCCTCGAGGAGGTGTAGGCCTCTGGAGGGGTGAGTGGCGATCAATGAGTACCCTTAGGCGCCACCTCGAAGATGTCTGCTTCGGACGAGAGCTCTGCCATCTTCTGCACCGACAGCCAAAAGCAGATCCGCGACAAGGTGCCGCTCACCCACGCGCACTGGGCCTTGCACTTTGAATGCCGTGGGGCGCCTGTCGTTAGACGTGGAGACGCGAGGGTCGCCCCCCCTTGCCCCACCACCTCGTGTGTGTGGAGAAGCTTACCTAACCTTACCTTACCGACAAGGTGAACCGGTACGCCTACTCGGGCGGCCGCGAGACGGTAGAGGAGCACCGCGAGAAGGGAGGAGACCTCGCGGCGAGACGTAGCCGAGAGGGAGCCGAGAGGGTGCCGAGACCGCCGGGGCCCCATAGCTGGCCGCGAGATCGCGAGAAGCACGCGCGGCGGCCGCTCTCACCCGCCCGCGCGCGCTGGCCGCTCTCAGACGGACATCTCGTACCAGTGGCTGCGCTTCTTCCTGCACGACGACGCGGAGCTGGCGCGCATAGGAGACGAGTACTCCTCCGGCCGCATGCTCTCTGGCGAGATCAAGGCCGAGCTCGTCAAATGCCTCGTGCCGCTCGTGGCGCAGCACCAGCAGGCGCGGGCGCTGGTCACGGACGACGTGGTCAAAACCTTCATGACGCCGCGGCCGCTGGTGGGGGCGTCTGCAGAGTCGTAGAGTACACGAGTCTACGTAGGTACGAGAGCGCGAGAGCGGTAGCCGGCGGCGGCGGCCCCAAGGCGCAAGGCGCAAGGGGGGGGGGGGGGGGCAGCGCCAGCGGGCTGAGCTCGAGACGGGTCGCCTCGCAGTGCTGCTGGCTCGTGCGGGCGGGTGAGCATGCGCACGATGGAGCAGGGCTGTGGGATACGTTGCGGGTGCCGCATGTGCTCTGGATATCCCAAATTTGGGGACGCCAAATCGGTTGCCACGGTGTCCATCGAAAACCTCGCGGCGATGAAAACCACCCATCCCCCAACACTACGCCCGCACGCCCACGGCCGCAGAGGCATGGAAGACGAGCTTCCTGGCGTCTCCACAGCCTGCAGCCAGCGCTCACTTTTGGTGCACACCTGCCCAGAAGAATTTTATTCGCGCACTCTCTGAGCCATTTCCCCCAGTAATCACATGCCGGAAAGACCACTCGGAAAGACACCTCGCAGCGCGCGATACGTGACCGGAGCGGTACGCCTCGGCGCCGCGAGAGCAGCCGGTCGGCGTGGGCACCAAGCGCGGCCGCCGGGCGCCTTCGCACCGACGAAGAAAGAAAAAGAAAGAACGCTCAAGCCAAGGGAGGGATGGGAGGACGGCACGCCGCCACCACACAGGGATTTCACTGGAAGGAAGGTGTGTTGCTCTAGCCGTCGCCCACCCTTGGGCGTCTGCCTCTCCTCGCACCGACGGAGGTTGGAGCCTAGAAATTCTTTTTGTGGCGATGTCCACCCCGCCGCGCCGCCGCTCGCGCCGCCTCGCCTCCGCCGCCGCCGCCGCCCCCTCGCCAGACACGCCGCCGCCCGCCCGGCTCCTCGACCTCCCCAGGGAGCTCCTCGAGCGCGTCCTCTCTCGCTGCGACAGCCCCCTCGACATCGCTCGCGTCGCGGCCGTCTCGCTGCTCTTCCACGCCTCGCTTGCGGAGGAGGGCATCCGCTTGTGGGCGCAAGAGCGCGGCTTCGAGCTGCCGGCGCAGCCAGAGGGCGAGCGTTGCGTCGTGCAGTGGCTGTGCTTCGCTGCGCTGCTTTGCGAGTCCAACCCGCCGGCGAGGGCGGCGGGAAGCGAACGGCACAGCCTCGTGAAGAAGTGAGTGCTCGTGAGAGAGTGATCTTTATCGCTTGTTGAAACACGTTGTTAGCCGCTTGGAGCATGGAGATGGACGATGGAGGCACTTGGACTTGCAGGTCCGCTGCGCACCGCACGGTCGGCACGCTGTGGAGCACGATGGGAGACGGTGTTTGCGCTGGCAGGGTCCTAAAAAAGGTTCCTTTTTGGGTTCGGCGGAGGAGCTGGGGTCGGCGGAGCTGCGCTTGGAGCAGCGCGGCGGCTCCACGGGCGCATCGGCGATCGAGCGGCGGCGGGCGAGCACGGCGTCCAGGGACCCGGGCGCTGAGGCGGGCGGAGCGGGCGGCGCGGCGGCGGCGGCGAGGCCGACCGGCCTTCTGCAGAGGGCGCGAGCAAGGACACTCGCAGTCCGGGCGACGGAGCTCGAGCGGGAACGGGGCTGGCGGCCGGTGGGTCCGGGGAGGGGGGAGGAGGCTGCGGGACGGAGGCGGAGAGCATGGTCCTTGGCGGCGGCCTCTAAACTACCCTACGCCAAAGAAAAATAAATATTTCACCCAGACGAACGAAGAAGAGGTGACAGGAGACACAAGCCAGACGAACGATTGCTCATCGTCTGCTTGTATTATGGGGGTGGCCATCGATTGCCTGCCCACCAAGCCGCTTGACGAGCCCACTGATGACGCCGCTAAAGCCGCCGCCACTGCTCACAAAGACGCGAGCGTGCGCCATGTACACGACGTCGTCATCCGCCCGCTGCCCAATCCTGAGCTCCACGAAAAAGCCTTTCGCTCGAAAATGGTCCCGCACACCATTGATGTACTCAGTGCTCGCCGGCCAGATGTTCTCCGCGAGCTGGTAATGCGTGCCAGCGACGAGGATAAGGTGCCGCGTCGAGAGCTGCTGCACGTACTGGTCGAAATGACTTAGCGATTTCACATAGGGCCGCAGGCCATCGCGCAGCACGCCGGGGACGCCGCCGTGCGAGATTATATCCCTTGGAACGCCGTCATGCAATTTCTTTCCATCGAGGACGTCTCCGCACCGGAGGTGCAGGATGGCTGCATCGGACGGCGGGACCATCGATGGGTGGCTGGCCCTATACTCTCGCACAACCCGCGCTAGGATGACATAGTCCCCTGAGCGAGTGGTCGCTCTTAGGTATCTGCTGGCGATGCTATTCGGGAAGTGTGCAAGGTGAAAGCTCTCGAGCATGCGTCTGAACGAATCAAACCTGAAGACATCGCCCAATCTATACCCACTTGGCTGGTCGCCCGATGCTGGAAACAGAAGATAGTTGCACCCGTTCTTGTTGCATGGGCAATCACAGCCCTGGTAGCCTCGCATGGGCAAAGCCGGCGGCGCTGGAGGTGCCCGGCCTTGGTCTGCCGCCGAAGCAGACGCGTTGAACACGCTGCGGAAGACGCGCTCGTCGTTCACTCGCGTCGTGTTGAGCGCCAGACCGAGTGCAAGATGGAAGATGTGCTCGTAGATGATGCCAATCTCCGAATGGCCGACGGGATTCCTCGCAGTGCGCTCGAAGCCAGCAAAGGTCTTGCCAGAGGGCGTGTATCCACTAACGGGCAGCAGGGCTGCAGATCGCAGCGCTGACCACCACTCAAGCGAGCGGCTCCGGATAGCGCGGCGCGTCAGTAGCCACGTATTGCAGCAGTGTAGATGTAGCGATTGTCCGCGAATGTCGGGTAGGCCGTGTAGCGGGCCGAGGGTCTGGTTTAGGTGGCGATAAAAAAGGTCCAAACCCCGCCGGACGTCGTCCTGCCCGTTCCAACTGCCAAGGACCCGTCCGTCGACGAATGTGTCTCCGAGCGGCACCGCAAGTGACTCACGCGACAGGCTGGAGACCGAGCGCTGCGAGCGGAGAAGCAGGTCCAGTCCAAGTCGTAGGTGGCTGTTGCTCCCGTGCAGAAGGTAGACACAGGGAGGAAGCGTTGACCACCGCCACATTATCCACTCCAGGTATCCGTATCCCTCGTCGCCCTTGTTGTCTACGGACAAGATCGAGCGATTCGACAGCAGGCCGCATTGTTCGACTATGGTTGCATCCCATGGTAGCCACGCGGGCGGCGGCTCCCGACATCTCACCCAGACGACCTCGCACATCGCGGTCATGCTGGCATTCGCCGCAGCTGGCTTGGCATCAAAGCGTTGCTGTCGCTCCTTCATTTTGGCCGGCATCAAAGCTGGCGAGAGTACGGTCTCCCCATGCAAACATGATAGTCCGTGTCGCCGTGCGCACGAACATGCAGATGGAAGGCCGGCCCGAAATCTTCGCTGCGCCCGGAGTTTCGCGCGCCACCAAACAAAGCTTGCCGGCTTGTGGGCGGGCGGATCTGTCCTGCTGCAGGGATGCGTGCACGCACGGATGGCTTCGCCCTCATAGCTGCCGGCATAACCCATGTTGGTTTGGGTAGGAGCCGTTTCGCCAGCTTTGACGTCGGCCATGATCAAGGAGCTGCGACAGCAACGCTTTGACCCCAGGCCGGCTGCCGCGAATGCCAGCATTGCTGCGGCTTCGTGGGTGGATTACCAGAACACCACGGTGATGGAATCTGCCTGGCTTCAGAAACAGGCGGTGCTTCGCGAGGCTGCAGCACGTGCACGCAGCACAAGGCGGTCGGCTTGGCCGGTGCGAGAAGGCACAGCGAGGCGCGGTGCAATCAGTGGAAGCACCATCGGATCAAAAAGAACGCCGACGCTGCCCTACAGGCTGCACAGACAGTGCTAGCTCTTTATAGCGAGGCGACCAGGCGCGAGATGTTCACTCTCGCGCCACATCCCTACAACGGGGTGCATTGTACCCACTTGCACGCCGGCACGAGCGCGACGCCGCAGTGGGGCAAACGGGGCATCTGGGGCTAGCTCAGCTATGAGCATCACCTCTGCCGCTTCTCGCCATCCCCGAGGAGCAGCGCGCCCGAAGCAGGTGAGTCACGGCCGCTAGGTACAGCGAGCGCGGCGGGCCAGAAGCGAGAAGGGAACGAAGGAGAAAATCAGCAGATTCCGATGGCGGAGGCTCGGCATGCTCCTGCCGTCGCGGTGCTAGACAGCAAGCTATACGCTGTGGGAGGCTTCAGCAACGGCGACGACGACGGCCTCCTCAGCTCGGTCGAGCGGTACGACCCGGCGTTGGATGCGTGGCAGGCGGTGGCGCCGATGGCGGCGGAGCGGAGCGAACATGGCGTGGCGGTGCTCGACGGCAAGCTGTACGCCGTGGGCGGCTTTGGCGACGACGGCGGCCTCAGCTCGGTCGAGCAGTACGATCCCGCGACGAACGCGTGGGAGGCGGTGGCGTCGATGGTGACACCACGCGAGAACCACGCCGTGGCGGTGCTCGACGGCAAGCTGTACGCTGTGGGAGGCTACAATGGTGGCTACCTCACCTCGGTGGAACGGTACGATCCCGCGACGGACGCGTGGGAGGCGGTGGCGCCGATGGCGACGGCACGGTATAATCACGCCGTGGCGGCGCTCGACGGCAAGTTGTATGTCGCAGGCGGATTGGGTGCCGGCTATAACCGCCTCAGCTCGGTGGAGCGGTACGACCCGGCGTTGGGTGCGTGGGAGGCGGTGGCGCCGATGGCGGCGGCGCGGGTCCTCGCTGTCTTTCTTTAGACGGCTCTGTTAGACTGTTTTTCTCTCCCGTAGAGCGTAGTTGTTAGATGACCCTCTGTTCTTAGACTACTATTAGACACACTGTTTCGCGGAAAATAATAAATATATAAAGGGGGGAGTAAGTTTGGAAGGCGAACCATACACAGTCCGACCAACGACTGGGACACCCTACGTGCTACGAGGCACTCTCATCTCTCTGTCTCTCACAGACTGTTTTTGATATTGCCTCGATTTTGTTTTTGTTTTCCATCGACCCCGACTCAGAGGCGGCGGGCGGGCGCCCACTCACCGTCACCCAGAGATCAAAAACGCTCGGCCCAGGGAAGAACGAGCTCCGCGCGGCGCGCGAGGCGGTGTGTGTACATGCATGCCGCTCCCTCTCTGAACTCTGCGCTCTCATCGCCACAGCTCTCGCGTCGGCGGCTCATGCGGCGATGGTCTCCTTGTCCGCGGGCGGGCCGATCGAGTCCTTGATCTTGTCTGGGATGTGGCTCGGGTCCCAGATGTTGTTTGAGATGTCCTCCTCGATGGCAGCCTTCCACTCCGGGTTCTTCTCGAGGATCGAGGCGATCGTGAGCGTGTCGATCTGCGGGTGGGGAGGCGGGGTGAGAGGAGCCGGGTCAAGGAGGGGGGGGGGGGGGGGCAAGGACCCGGGTCAAGGGGGGGGGGGGGGGGCCTTTGGAGGCCTGGGGGAAAGGGGCTTTTGGAAAAAGGGGGGGAGCTTTAAAGGGGGGGGGGGGGGGCCGCTTTCCCCCCTTGGGGTCGCTTTTTATTTCCCCCCGGGGGGAAAAGGGGTCCCCCTGGTTTTTTTTTGAGGACGACTCCCTTTTGGGTGACCCCCCCTTGAGCCCCTTGGGCCCCCCACTTCCCTTTGGAGACCAGGGAGCCCCCTCTGCCCTAAATTTTTTTTTTTCCCCCGAAATTCCCGCCCCCGGTCCCCCCCCAGGGGGAAGGGGCCCCCCCTTAAATTTCTCAAAAAAATCCCCCCCCCTGCCCAGGGGGGGGGGGGGGGAAAAAAGTTTTTCCAAAACCCCCCA